CGGGGGCTCTGGGTGGTGTCAATGGTCAACACGCTTGGCTGCTAACCAAAAGGCTGGAGGTTCAAGTCCACCCAGAGGCACGTGGAAAGAAAGGCCTGGCGATCTATTTCCAGAAAATCAGTCATTGAACACCCCGTGGAGTGCAATTCTACTCTGACACACGTGGGGTCACCATGAGTCGGAATTAACTTGATGGCAACTGGCTTAATACAATTTTTAGTTTTTAAAAATTGAGTTAAAAAATATATTATCAAAGTTCCACACACACATAGTTTAATGAGCCAAACGTGCTATAAAAGCAGCCGACTCAAAGATGGGTGGCTGTGTGCTGTTGATTCTGGCCCACAGCTACCCTAGAGGACAGAGTAGAGGCTTTCCTGGGCTGAAATCTTTACAGGAGCAGATCGCCAGCTCTTTTCTCCCATGGAGTGGCTGGTGGGTTCAGAGCTCCGACCCTTCGGTTACCAGCCGAGTTCTTAACCAGAGGGACTGGGAGGAGCTGGGCCTGGACCGAGTCTGGAGAGGCCTGCCCCTGGGCCTGGTCCAGAACATCCAGCCACCAGGGCAGCAGCTGGGGCACACTCCAGCCTCAAGGCGGCAAGAACAGCTAGGCGGACCTCTTGGACCCCAAGGTGGGCTGGACAGGGTTTCTGCAGCAGTGTCCAGCTGAGCGCTGAAGCGGGGACCTGGTGGGGGTCATCACAGCAGAAAAGCAGAGTGAGGGGGAGCCTGAGGGATGCTTTGGAATGCGCTGGGCTGCAGTTCCAGTGGGCGGGTATGAAAGGAAGTGTGGGCCTCATTTGTGGGTACAGACTGGCATGCGTGGAGCCAGGGGCAGGGCCTGGGCATCCTCTGCTCCCTCAGCTTGGGCCGTGAACAGAAGCGGGCATCTCCAGGCCTGTCTGCTGACTGAGTGCATACATGAATTTTGAACAAATCTATTAAAGGAAAAGCTGGCAGCTAGAGTCCTTGGAGGAGTCCCTGGGTGGCACAAATGGTTAAGTGCTCGACTACTAGCCGAAAGGTTGGCAGTTCAAACCCACCTAAGCGAGCCTTGGAAGAAAGGCCTGGTGATCTGCTTCTGAAAGTTCACAGCCTTGAAAACTGTATGGAGCACAGTTTTACTCTGCACACACGGGGTCGCCATGAGTTGGTTTTGGAGTCAGCTAGAGTTAGCTGACCCTGATCCAGCATCCATGCATCATCTGAAAACGAGGCTGATAACGCAGATGGTCCTGGGCATTAGCTTACTGCCCAGGGCAGATGGTCCAGGCCCAGGCTCCTCAGGGTGGGCCTGGCAGCGGGTGGGAGGGGCTGCCTTCAGTGAGGGCGTGGGCAGCTCACTGGGAAGGCATCTTCCCAATCCCTCAAAACCCTCGTCATTACCTCGGCTGCCCCAAAGCTGAACGTTCCACTCTTTAACCTCTTGTCCCATGATCTGGGAACATGCTGCCATCATCCAACCTTCGCCCCAGAGGAGCTCATCCAAGAAGCAACGCTGGAGACCCTCGGCTTCCTGAGAGCGTCCCTCTGTGGGGGAGTCAGCTTTCTGGTAAAAACGAGCTGAGACAGATACACTGGCTACAAAGCAGAAATGGATTCCAGGCCTCTTCTTCCTTTTTTTTTTTTAACTTTATAGACACTATCAAATACACAAGAGTAGAGAGCACCTCTCAACCAGCTTCAAAAAATTATCAACGTTGAGAAAATCTTGTTTTCTCTGTCTCCCCTGACTTTCTGCTCTGATTGTCGTTAGCCGCTGTCATGTCGGTCCCCAGCCCGTGGCGATCCCATTCACAACACAACGTCCTGTGCCATCCCCACGATCTGCTGCAGACCGGACTGTTTCGATTCATGGGATTTTTCCCCCATAGGGTTTTTACTGGCTAATTTTCAGAAGTAGACTGCCAGTCCTTTCTTCCTAGTCCATCTTAGTCTGGAAGCTCCACTGAAACCTGTTCAGCATCCTAACAACACACAAGCCTCCCCTGACGGGTGGTGGCTGCCCGTGAGGGGCGCTGGCCAAGAACTGAAGCCAGGTCCCCACACGGAAGGCGAGAGTTCTACCACTGAACCACCAAGGCCCAGCTGGCCGCCAAGAGGAGGAACCTCCACATGGCTGTACCCTCTCTCCCTGCCAGAGCTCCATCCGTCCTCCCCGTGTCCACCTCTTGCCAGCAGTGTCTGCCTCACCACCTCTGCCCCTCGCCCTCCAGACCGCTCCTTTCCCAACAGAGAAGCAGCTGGAGCGCGCCCCTGCCTGTCTGTCTCCCTCTGAAGCCAGGCCGCTGTGGGGATGAGGCCACCTGAGGCCTCCCTGGTGTTCTCCCTGTGGCCAGGAGGGGCGGGCACCGAAGGAGACCCCAACACTCAGGAACCCACGAGACAAGTCAACATGCATCTTTGCAAATGGCTCGGCTCAGAAACCCAGGCTGGTGCAGTTTGAACAACACTGCAGGCTGCAACTTGGAAGTAAACAGAATCAAATACACGCTCTTCCTGGCCTTTGAAACGCTCGCAAGCCCATCTCTACCCTGTTCCTGAGAAAACCCGGCACCCACTCTGTGCACAGCGCTATTTCTATGGGACCGCGGGGGGCACGGGACTGCCATGAGGGCGGAACTGCCTGCCGAAATAAGAGCTTCACCTTATTAACACAAACTTCATCAAAGCAGGTTAAAAAATTTCCCTTAGGATATTTTTCTACTGGAAAAACTATTTTAAGAAAAATAAATATAGTTGGTGCTTGACTACTAACCTAAAGGTTGGCTGCTCGAACCCACCCAATGGCACTGTGGAAGAAAGGCCTGGCAATCTGCTTCCATAAAGATTACAGGCAAGAAGACCCTATAGGGCAGCTGCGCTCTAACGCACGGGGACGCCATGGACCGGAGCCAACTGGACAGTGACGGGCACTGACTGTCCTTGTCTTTTGTGTAGCTGGGAAGCAGTTAAGAGGTGCCGTGACCCCAAAGACCCCACGACGCAGGGGAGGAAAAGGCCAGGCCACGTGGCCGGGCGGCTACCCCTGCCTCCTTGAGCCTCTTCTTCCTGGTGGAATCCGGGCGCTCCTAGGACTCGTCTGCCTGAGAGGTGCCGAGTGGCGGCATGGTCCGTGCCTGCTACGTGGAAGGACGAGCGAGCAGATGCTCAACACCTGCGAGGTTACCAGCGGGAGCTTTAAAGAATTTTGTTTAGAATGTAGGCGATTATGGAACAAAAGTAAAATAAAATGTAGGTGATTATGGACAGAGCCAGACAGTCTGTTTACATCCTTTTTCCATTATTGAGCCTGGAAAATAGTGGGAGTACATAGAACTAAAGTGGATCTTACAATTTGTAAGTCAACAACAGACCTCTTTTCCTTCCCTGATCAGCTATCCCCTCATTTACTCTAAAATGATTTTTTTGGTAGAATGTACATAACCACGTAAGCTAACACTGGGCATGCTCATGAAGCCACAGTCCTGATAACACGTCTAAGCGGACACCTGCTTATACACCAGATGGCAAGTACAGTTTCATCTATAGATGACCCAGCTGAGAAAGAAAACCTGTCTGTGAAACAGAGGATAGTGTAAATCACATCTAATTTTAAATATTTTAATTTATATCCTTTCATGAATATAGGTCAGTAAGAAATTCACTTTTCAGATTTTATTTCATCATAGAATATATGTGATAAGGGTACATACAAACAACTTGACCTTGGACACACGCTGTTGACTGCTGTCCTGCTCCTTGGCCAGAGCTGCAGAGCTTGGACAATTCATCGAGCAGCCTCTAACCAGGAAAAATCGTAATCTTTGTTTTTAAGTCTGCTTATTACTCTTCTATTTTAAAATCTGAGATATAGTCCCCAATGTAAACAATAAATCTCAACCTGTCACACAATCAAAATGGATAAGGCCTTCCTGATGAATTTCTGTCACCTATGTTTTACTCAACAGAACGCAATCTTGCTTCCTACGGGGAAGAGCCGCCCATGCCCAGGGCCAGGAGGAGAAGCCGCCCTTCGGGCTTCCTGGAGCCGTTCCAGACTGCCTCCCCAGTAGGTTTATGGTACACTTAGAAGATATCTTTCTAACTTGGTCTACTTGGTCTTAAAATACAAATATACAATGTCCATAAGCACAGAACGGTAAAGCCTAGCCTTACATAGTTATCATGAATCGCTAAAACCCTATACAAGGACAATACCGTATCACGCCGATTACTATACAGGGGACGGTGGTTAAATGTCTCCAGCATTCACCAGGCAGTGGGCAGGCGGCGGAGGGGAAGGTGACCCAGGTGTGAGGAGGCTGACTGCACCTGGTTAGGCAGGGCTGGCCAACTCACACTCCGCCAATGCCTGTCCCCCTGCGGAAATATCTGCTAATCTGCAGAAGCAGCTGCTTAACCCAAGAACACAGCAACCCCTCCCTCACCAGCCCCCCGAGGGAGAATTTAATGACACCTTAGAAAATATAACCAATCAGAGCCTTAATCCTGCGCTTCCTGATCCAGCTGTGCGAATCAGGTATTCGCTTCCTCCTCAATCGGTTCAGGTCTTAGGGCCCATGAATCACCAGCGACCATGATTCAGTACCTCATTACCATAAATATGTGACTCAGCAAGCTAAGTGTAAATAGTAAAGACTATATACAATATTTTAAAAGGCATTCTGTGACCATTTTTGCAGAGTTCATAGAAAAGTTACCAAGTATACACCAGTTGCTCCTGTTGACGTCACCATAATGTAAACCTTGGTGTCGTTTTTACATTAAATGCGCACTGTCTTCTATATTGTACAACCGAAGAGAAAACTGTCTAGCTGACGTGACACCCATGATTCTCCAGGCTAAGGTAACCGGTAGAGGGCATCTTTTTCCTGAGGTTTGTAAGAATTTTTAAAACAAAACAGAAATCACAGTGACCAAGCGTAATGCGAGTCTGTGTCTTCGGGCGGGAGGTGCCCCGGGCCCCTGAAACTCCTGCCCCTGCGGCCCAGCGGGGACTAAATGACCCGCCACTGCATGATGCTTGTGTCCTTGCCACCCGTGGAGATGAGGTGGCTGTCTGCATGCAGGAAATCGACATTGGTGACATGACTGCTGTGCCCGCCGTACACGTGGCTTGGTGCCTGGAAAAGGGCAACAGAGAGAAAAGTTTCATACGAGCCAGACGGTGCCGATTAGACAGCCCCATAAAACAAAACGAGACTAATGGGGCACAACAGTCCCAGGACAAGGACTAGAAGGCAGGAGGGGACAGGAAAGCTGGTAATAGGGAACCCAAGGTCGAGAAGGGAGAGTGTTGACATGTCGTGGGGTTGTAACCACTGATAAAACAATATGTGACAATAGTTTCTCTGTTTAATGAGAAACTCTTTGTTCTGTAAACCTTCATCTAAAGTACAATTAAAAAAAACAAAACTAGACGGTGCCTGGCTACCGCTACTGACCGTTCTGATCAGGGCCCCAGTAGACGGGCGCTGGTAGCATGGAAGAAAAATGTGGACTAGAACGCAAATTCTTAAGAAGTCCAGACTTATTGGACCAGTTGAGACTATAGGGCCCCCCAAGACTATCGCCCTGAGATACTCTTTAAACCCCGAACCGAAACTAACCCGAGGTCACCTTTCAGCTCAGGAACAGACTGGCTCATAAAATAAAGACTATCACCAGTGAGTATTGTGCACCTTTAAAAAAATCATCTATGAGACCAAATGGTCGACAATCATTCTAAAGCAAAGATGAGTAGTTACGGGGGCAGGGCAACTAGAGTACTGGAAATGGAACAACCAGAACAGAATTAACGGGAATGTTGATACACTGTGTAAAATGTAACCAATGTTACTCAATAACTTGTGTAGAGATTGTTAAATGGGAACCTAATCTGCTGTGTTAACTCTCACTGAAAATACAATAAAATATTATTAAAAAAAAAAAGCTGAATACAAGGTGAGTATTTGGGATCAGGAGCTGCTTGACTTCTGGAGCTATTCCTTAATCCCTTCACTCCGTAGCTTCCACTGAGCATCGCCTGTGTGCCCAGGACACAGGAGGGACTCAGAAGGTCCTGACAAATCGAGAGTCCAGAGTCTGCGGCTGCCTCTGCCTCTGCTGTGAGCTGTTCCTACAAGAAGGCCGTGCCCAGAAGAGGGTTGGCCTGCAGAAGGGCCAGCTGGATGCTGGGCTGAGGATGGAGGAGGACCAGGTTCAGGAAGGATGAAGCGGGGGGGAGGGCGGGGCTGGGCAGAGGGAGCACGGGTGGAGGGAAGGAGTGAGGCCCGAAGCTACGGTGGTGGACAGGCCAGACCTGAAGTCTCCCAGGTCATAGCAAGGAGCCTGGACTGTGCCTGGGAGCAGCGGGGAGCACAGGAGGGCTCCATCACTCTTGGTGCGTTTCTACTCCATGGCCAAGCAGACAGGGCGAGCCACCAGGGACAAAACCAGGGAAAACGACGAATCCCTCACCCTGAACTGGGAGCAGGGGTAAGAGAAGAGGTGCACTTTGCCAAAGTCGTCCCCAGTCGCCAGGAGCTTCTTCTCGTGGGCCCGGCAGACAGCATTGATGTCAGTTCCGTCTGAACCTTCTGGCCACACTCCTGAAACAAAGAACATAAGTGAGCAATGGAGACAGTTCAAGGACACAGGGCCACACTGTGCAGGGCCACACCGCTGAGCTCCACGGACACACGGGGCCACACCGCTGAGCTCCGCGGACACA